AATAAATTAGTCTTTAATATTAGAATTATCCAAAAAATAAGTACTCAAATGCATTTTAAATCAACTTGTAAGGACAAAAATCTACTCTAAGACTAAAAACAATCTGGAATGCTTTAAAGTTCATCACTGCTAGTAAAGGTATTCGATGCATTTTCTGAAATAATTGGAACTTCAAATCATTTCTATTATATAATAATTTTTTTGTATCAATTTATAAACATTTATAACATCATTTTAAGAATCAAGTACCAGGATATCAGTCCTTTGGCATTAGGCAGGTATAGGCCTAATCTTGGCATTTTAGTTGTATTCTTATTAATAAATATGATCATAATTTATTTCGGAATAATTTTCATAGGCTAGGCTATTTTACTATAGACATAGTATATTACCAAGTGCTATAGCAGTGGTTCTTAACAGGTGCTCCGCGGAGCACTGGTTCTCCGCGGAACACTGGTTCTCCGCGGAGCACTAGTTGTCCGCGGAGCACTGGTTTTCCGCGGAGTACTAGTTCTCCGCGGAGTACTGGTGCTCCGCGAGGTAGTTGCAAGTGCTCCGCGAAATTATGAAACTCAAAATTTAATGTTCACTCACTTACTCTATCTGATTGAGCTGAACAAATGCTTTTAATAGGTAGTCCAAACGGGGGAAAATCGGCCTTTTTGCCTATTTTTACTGTTTTTTTTTAATATCAATTGAAAGCTGCACATATTGTGTCTGATACAAACGGTAGAATTAAAAGAAGAAAAATTAATCGACAGTATTCTGAATAATATTTAAGTTTTGGATTTACATACATTTGTGAGGAAGAATATCACATTCCACAATGTATTGTATGTGGAGAAAAATTATCCAACAGCGCGATGGTTCCTACCAAGTTGAAACGTCACTTTTCTACAAATCACGCCAATCTTGCTACAAAAACTAAAGATTATTTCAAAGATACGCAAGCTAAACAAGTAAAATATTTTGAAAAAACTGTGAAAATTTCCGATAAGGCACAATTGGCGTCATATAAGGTTGCTGAAATGATTGCTGTTCAGGTAAAACCACATACTATAGCAGGGTCTTTAATTATACCTGCATGTTATGAAATGGTTAAAATTATGTTTGGCGATGAAGCAACAAAGGAAATAATCAAAATTCCTCCTTCAAATGATACAATAAAAAAATAGAATTAAAAATATGTCGGATGATATCGAGAAAACAGTTGCCGATAAGCTTTCCAAACGGCATTTTGCTCTGCATATTGACGAGTCCACTGACATAAGTGGAAAAGCTCGTATACTAGGGTTCGTTCGTTTCATTCATGAAAACGAAATAGTGAATCAATTTCTATGCTGTCTTGAGCTTACCGAACGTTTGACAGGACAAGATGTCTTTGATTCTATTTCTTCCTATTTCGAACAATTCAAAATATCATGGGAGTTATGTGTGGGAATTTGTACAGACGGTGCTCCATCAATGGTAGGCTCATTAAAAGGGTTTGTGACTCTCACCGAGAAAAGAAACGCCAATATTATATCTACTCACTGTTTTTTTGCACAGAGAATCTCTGGTGTCCAAAACATTACCAGTAGCATTAAAACCTGTGCTAGACAAAGTTGTCAATACGGTAAACTTCATAAAATCGAGACCTTTGAAAATACGCGTCTTTAAAAATCTTTGCAACTCTATGGAAGCCAAGTACGAATCTTTACTTTTGCATTCTGAAGTGAGATGGTTATCCAGAGGAAAAGTGTTACGTCGTTTCTTAGAACTGAAGGATGAATTGATGACCTTTTTCCAAAATGAAAATATGGATGATTTTGTGGAATATCTTCAAAATGACATTTGGTGTGCTAAATTGGCATATTTAGCTGATATTTTTGATTATTTAAATTGTGTTAATACCAGCCTTCAAGGAAGAAAAGAAAATTTTTTAACATCGACCGACAAATTGACAGCCTTTCGGAAAAAAGTTATTTTTTGGAAAAATCGTTTGTTGGAGAAAAAGAAAGTAGATATCTTTCCTTCTCTTAATGATAACACTACCGACGAAATTATTTCAGCAGTAACAGAGCATTTAACTTTATTAGAAGAAAAGATTGAATTTTATTTTCCATCAATAAACGTAGAAACATATGACTGGATACGTAATCCCTTTGCCACGGTTGATACATCAAATAGTAAGTTGTCATACCAAGAAGAAGAAGAATTAATCAACCTATCATCAGATCGTACACTTAAAATAAAATTTTCCGAAATGGTTCTGGAGGAATTTTGGATCTTTGTGCAAGAAGAATACTCAGCTCTCTCCATGAAGGCACTTAAAATCTTGTTGCAATTTTCAACATCATATTTGTGTGAACTCGGTTTCTCGATAGTCACCAACATAAAAACTAAAAAACGAACAACACTTACTAATTTGGATGAAGAATTAAGGGTAGCTATTTCTAAAATTAGGCTTAATATCACTGAAATTTGTAAAAACTGTCAAGCTCAGGTTTCGCATTAAATCTTTTTATTTTTCTGAATTAAATTTTGAACAATGTTATTTTTTTACTTATTAAATTTATGTTTATTAAAAATTTGTTTGTCATGTTATAATTTTAAACTCGTATGTTCTAATGTTTTATTTTCAATAAAAGTCGTACGTATGTGTATTTGTTGTTTTTTTTTTACTCCTTGATTTTGGTGCTCACCAAATTTTTGTCATGATCAAAAGTGCTCCCCGACTTCAAAAGGTTAAGAACCACTGTGCTATAGGCTATATTATATATAGCTATCGGCATACGCTTTTTTTAAAAAGATACAATGGACTGAAAATCTAAATAAATTTAATTATGATAATATGTTACCTCTATTAAATAGTAAAAAAAAATACGCCTATAATTTAATAATTTTTTTAGGGGGGTCGATTCATTGTCATTGAGACACGCTGAGGGCCGGTTCAATGTCATTGGGACACTTTGAGCGCCGGTTTATCTGTCATTTAGACACTTTAAATGTTGATTCACTGTCATTCAGATCCTATGAGTGCTGATTCACTATCATTGAGTCACTTTGAGTGCCGTTTCACTGTCATTTAGACACTTTTAGGGCCCGTTCACTGTCATTGAGACTCTTAATGTGCCGTTTCACTGTCATTTGTATACTATGAGGGCTGCTTAATGTCCCACAGACACTGTTGGGGGTCGGACTGAATTTGAAAAAAAAAAAGGTATATCCTATGCACACCGCAGATGTCTTAGTTGTATTGACAAACAAAACAGTAACAAAAAATACAACATTTGGTAACCACTGAATCAATATAAAATGTTTAGTAGATCCCTGGGAAGTACGGGCCTGATTTTGACTCAATAGATTGTCAATTCAACGTTTTATAATTTGTCACTGGTATCCGGTAATCCATAAGAAGATCAGGCGGGTCAGGTTAAGAACTCATCAACTTCCGGATCTGGCCTGTGGATCGCAGTTTGAAGACAGTTTTCCTAAGACCATTTTGCACTGCACTGCATGTAATCAAAGAGATTGTCTTTTTCGTCCATTCCTATGGACAATTTGCTTTATTTCTAAGAGTTTTTTTTTTAAATTTAAAACGTAATGTCGTCATAGCTAATAATATAGGACATGTGTCATGAGAAGTAGGAGATTAGACACTTTTACAGAAGGAAAAAAATTGTGCAAAACTTGGAAGCTTACTGACTTACATAAGGCCTCCATAAGCACTGTGATATTTTTGCACAATCTAATCCTAAAAGTCTTGAGGGATTTCTAAAGGAGGAGTTAGGTTTTGGTAAGAATTTGATTTGATGGAGATTTTTAACGAGTTATTTAGTTTGGCTGATTTATTACTATGCCATTTGTCATTCCACAGGTTCTATTTTCTGAAACAATAAGTAGCAAGTCCATGATAACAAAAAGCGTTAAAGAGGATGCACTAGCTTCAACCATTCCCAACAAAGAAATAACACACATGAGCTCTAGAATCAGAGGCAAACATTATTACTAGAGTCAACGAGATATGGTAGCCCTAGAACCTGGGAAACAGAGCAGGCCTTGAATTAGTGACGGAGAGTGTTAGTAGAATCATTGGCACTAGAGTAAATATAACAGTGCAAGATATAGAAATAGTAAAATATATTAGTACAAGAATCAATGAAACGTAGTAGCATTAGAATCGGTGAAACATTGTAGCATTCGAACTATTTGCACAGCGGGGCACTAGAACAATTGGCACAACGGGGCACTAGAACCATTGGTACATCGGGGCACTAGAACCATGGGCACAACGGGGCACCAGAATAAGTGAAGTAGATCAGCATCAGAATAACTGAAATATAGAGAAGCCCTAGACTCGGTGAAACAGACACGCGCCAGAATAATTAAAACAGAACAGCACTCGACTACTTGAAACAGAGTAGCTCAGGAATCAGTTTAATATGTAGCGCTAGATTCATTGGCCCAATGGGCGTGGAGCCCTAGAATAACGTATGGAAAACAGAGCTGCTCTTGAAACAGTCAAACATAGTAGCACTAGAACCATTTTTCACGAATTAAATACTGGAAGCAGTGAAACAGAACAGCACTAGAATCAAGGGCACCGAGTGCACTAAAAATAGTAAAAATCAGGAGCACGTAGGGGTGTTACAATAAGTTTAATAGTTCTCAAACCTAAACCGTGTTTTATGAATGAATTATTCCTTAGTTTTGTTTTGAATGTTTTATTTCTACTTTTTTCCTCTCTAATTTCTTGTTTTGCTAATTAAATTACTTTTCTATCTTTAAATTACATAACATTTCAAATGTTTATTTATTCATACTGTACCTATGTCGCATTATCACCGTAAGATATTCTGCGACCATGACTTGTTTATAATTGTTGAGAATTATTTCTTGAGATTGTTTTTGTTTATGTTTCCGAATTTTGAAATAGCATGATGACGCGATCAATAAAATGGCGAACAGGAACTACGTAACATCTGCATAATGTATTTTCATTAGCATATAATATTAACAAAGTAACTTTAATTGCTTTGATTAATATTGATTAAATAAAAATAATCATAAATTATAGATCAAAATCAGGCTTGCACGACATACGGCCCGCATGCGCTCCGCCAGCACTCACTTTGAGGCCCCATCGAAGTAACGAGGTATTCTATTTAATAGCTCTCCGGCAAGTCCTATTTTCTATCGGCCCTCACAAGTTTTTCAAAAAGTATTATGGCCCGGCTAATATTTTGATTTGTGCAGGCCTTATCTAGATTGATAAGGAGTTTGACAAAAGGATAAACCAAATAGCTTTAATAGTCTTTCAAGTATTTAATGTATTAATCATATTAATGAATAAGCCGTAATTTAATCCAATACATATCCTTTTTTTTTTTGACATTGGAACTCTTTGAATCCAATAAGTTTTTTGTCAACATATTCAAAATTACACCTTCTCACCAAAGCCATCACCTCAACACATTTTCTGGCTAAACCACTCCGCAGTCATGTAAAGTAGTTCACAAAGTAACGAATTTTAGGAGCATAGAATATTTTTTTGAAGGGGTATTTATTCTTGCACTTTTCGGTACGATTGGGTGTACATAACTTTTTTTTTTTTCTTTGTGGACTCCCAACAAATTTTGGCTAAAACTACAGAATCGTCCCCGACACACAGATGTCTGACACCACTCCATCTTCTCGGAACAGACTGGTGGCAAAAAATATACAATAATAAAACTTGTTGGTAAGTTGCTTGCTGAATCTTTTGTGGAGCTGATGTGGCGCGTGTGTAGGAATACTTTTAGGGGACCACCACTTGGCTTCAAATAGTTTCTACAATTTTTTTACCAGATAGTGTTGATTTAATCCCAATATTTAGGTTGCCGGCTTTCCAAGCAGAGAGAGTGAGTGAGAGAGAAAGAAACAGAGAGAGTGAGTGACAGAGAAAGAGAGAGAGTGAGAGAGAAAGAGATACAATGAGAGAGAAATTTAGAGAGAGAAGGAGAGAGAGTTAGAGAGAGATAGAGTTAGAGAGGGGAGAGAGACAGAGTGAGAGAGAAAGAGAGTGAGAGAAAAACAATTTTGTTCTAATCTCCTAACATGTCAGAATCGCTATATAATTCTGATTTGTGTAAATTAATTATTGTATTTTTTAGTAGTGTACCTCTTCATTAACTGTTTTTCAAATTAATATCTTTACATACAGGCAAGCTCAAAGAAAACAAGTCACTATCAAAGTTACTGTAATAAGATGGACGAAAATACCTTTTATTTATTTTAGGGTAAAAATAGATGCACTTTGGAGAGTCCGGCATCTGTGACGTCATGCAGTTTATGAGAGTCCTTTTAACTGTTGGTTTATTCATTGCTGGTAAGTTGTGATAAAAATGTATTGTTTAGACTTCTAAAACTGGTAGCCTAAAAAATCATCGCCCTACTATCACCCGAATCAGACATTTATGGTATGACATTTAATCATGCTTCTTATTTTGCCGATTGTAAGTTGACAATTTTTTTGATGTTATATATTGTTTGTTTTTTTCGTCAAGGTTCTCAAACATTTGATTGAACATAATATAGACACAGACTCTAACAAAAGAATAAGGATAATTTGTCCGGGAGTTAGGTGGGAGGAAGTATGTTGATTAGATAAATCTATAATTATGAATTTACAGGCTTAGTGCCTTTGAGTATGATGACGATTCACACACCTCCAACCCCACATCTTTTTTAAGAGGGCTGGGGTGGGGGAGAATAGTGAGTCTGTAAGGCATGGAATAAAAAACAAACCTTAAAAGGATTGTGTGTGATTCCCGGATATTGCTTAAAACGTACGTTTATTTACAACTCTATATAAGCTTAACTTCTGTTCATGGCTGGCTGGTGGCCTGTCGAAATCTTCGAACGGCTCATTGGCCAGCTTCCCGTCAGCCTATCGAACTGAAACTTGGCACACAGACCCGTTGCCAATGGCAACACATTTTTCAAATTTTCAGCTCCACCTCCCTCCTCCCTGCCCCCCCCCCAAACCCTAAAAACCAAACCCCTTAGAATAACCCATTTTCAAGGGACAGATGGAGGACATAAGAGATGACATTACAGATGGAGGAAATAAGAGGACATTACAGATGGAGGAAATAAGAGGACATTACAGATGGAGGAAATAAGAGGACATTACAGATGGAGGAAATAAGAGAGGACATTACAGATGGAGGACATAAGAGGACATTACAGATGGAGGAAATAAGAGGACATTGATATCATGAACTCAAATTCCTCTTAACTGGATAACAGCTTCAATGAGATTTTTTTGTTTCAAGTTTTTTTTTGCGTAATACTTTCCTTTGTCTTTCTGGAATACGGGCTAAAATAATTCTGATGTAGACAAGGGGATTGGGTCATTAGAATACTAATATATTTCAGGGGTGTCAAAAATAATGGGCGGTTGAGGGGAGCAATAATTGACATTATTTTTAAAGGGCGCTACCTGTACGCATGTTATGTGAAACTTTTAGCCCACACACCCCATACACAAGATCATATTTTGTAAAGGGCTTATACGATGGGCTTTGTTGTTAGTGCTTGTTTAATTTCTCATTCATTCGGTCTCCTGGATAAATAATGAAGTCATTCACGAATTTTTTGGTTGCTGGTGTACTCTACATCAAAGCGATTTTCATGATAACACCCAGGGCGACTTAATTTTACAGAAAACGAATAACTTCAATCTGAAATTCAATGTTATTTAACATTTCGAAAGAACACTTAGATTTTGCTGTTGTTGCTTATTAAACAGTGTTTAACAGGTCGCTGTCTCCATGAATGTTTTGTCGTATCCCATGCGAAGTGGAAATGAAAGGCGTACCCATAATGTGGAAAAGATTAGCGCGATCCATTATCGCCTGAATTATGACCCTTAACCAGGAGGGAAAAACAACGTCTCGATTGTAAAAGAATTATATCTGTCCTTACCGACTGTAGATTAACGTTTACACATTCTATTTGATGTGCAGGTTTGATTGTGGTCTACTTAGTCTAAAGTAGCATGAAAGGGGCCATCGATTGGACTGTGCAGTTTTGACATGATTAGCCGATAGGGCGATTAGACATTTGTAGTAGGATTACTGAAATTGTAATTGTTATAAAAATGGCCCATTCTTAGAAATAAGATAGCCATTTAAATGTAGGCCTAAGAAATGGTTTGTCATACGCCGTTTCTTACTGTTAGTTTTATTTCCCCCCCCCCCTACATTTTCCTTCTATTTCTCCGAAAATTTAAAAAAAATGTTATTATTTTGAAAGGAATGTCCCCGGACCCAGGAAATAATTTTGTGGGTTTCTTTTAAAGACACGTGTAACAATCTTTGTGCGTCACTATTGAAATATTTGTTGTTTTTTTATTTTTTTTTATTTTTTTTTTTAAAATTTATTCTGTACTTTTTAGTTGTTGTTTTGTTTCTTTCTATCCAGCTCAAGGTCAAGGTCAACTGTTTGACAAGTATGAGATCGAAGATGGTGGGCGATTCAATCTGACGTGTGATGCTAGCCGGATTGGCGGTATTCCGGCAGCTGTAACGGAGATTTCCGAGCTGTCCATTGAGAGAGTTTGGGTTGGGTATAACCCTAACCACACACTGATTTCAATGATTGCTACTTACCGAATTCTTCCTGAAGAAGAAGCAATCCAAACGGTAATATTTAAACCATGATCACACCATTAAATGTCTGTGGAGCCCAGCTAAATTTTCGATACTCTTAAAAAAAACTCCACATCTAAATCACATTTTTCTCTAAATTTGTGTCGAAAATTGATTAGAACTTTAATTATGATTTTCATTGTATATTTTGATTAACAATATTATGTCAATTTAAATTGTTTTCAATGCATTTTAATATTTGATATATTTTAGAGTGGACAAGAAGCTGCATTCGTTCATATTTCTCGGCTTACAATTGTTAATAAAGATTGGTTAAGTCGTATGGAGTTATGCTATGCCCGGTTTAAATGCTTCGTAATTATTACCTAAGGTTATATGACCATTGGTCGTTGTCAGCAGTGTTTCTTTCACAAAGAGTTTCGGAGGGTGGGGGGCAGTGACAGGGGCCAAAGCATGACTAATGGGGGGGGGGGAAGTGACAGATAACCCCTTACACCATACTAGCGGGGACGCCAATATAGCGTTTGAGGGATTTGATGAATAAAAATAATGGTTTTCTGAGTTGAGGAGTGGAAGAGTTGGGGGGGAGGGGCGGGAAAAATTAATCAATGTCCCTGGCGTCAAATGGGGAAGTGACAGATAACCCCTTACACCATACTAGCGGGGACGCCAATATAGCGTTTGAGGGATTTGATGAATAAAAATAATGGTTTTCTGAGTTGAGGAGTGGAAGAGTTAGGGGGGAGGGGCGTGAAAAATTAATCAATGTCCCTGGCGTCAAACACTCTAGCTGCGCCTCTGCAAGTAAGTTTGTACCGTCAATTGGAGCGAGGCATACATCTTGACAAGTCTAGGGTAGCACTAACACTAGCTACTGCACTGGGTAGTGTATCTATCATCACTAACAATAGCTACTATACTAGGTTGTGTATCTATCAGCAGTAACACTAGCTACACAAATAGGTACTTTATCTATCAGCATTAACATTGGCTACTCCACTAGGTAGTGTATCTATCAGCACTTGCACTAGCAATCCCACTAGTTTGTGTATCCAGCAGCACTATCAATAGCTAATCCAGTTGGTCGTGTATCTATCAGCACTAACACTAGTTACTCCATTAGGTTGTGTATCTATGATAATCAAAAATTATTACCAGGGCCTGCTGTACTGCCACTTTTTTTAGGGAAGAACTGTAGAAAATGAGGGTACGGTTGGCTCTTGAGTAAAAAGTGTGGGGGGGGGGTCTCTCCACAGAAAATTTTGGATTATTTCAAAATCAAAAGGTGCATTTAGATGTATACCTGAATTCAATGTTTCTCTTAGACAATGGGACCTGGGTAAGGTATTTTTCATTCGTCAGATGAAGATATTATATCATTAAATGCCATACATACATTGAATTCATTTAGCTTGTTGCGTGTCCCAGGATAATTCATCGGCACAAGCTTATATTAAACCAATATATTAAACCCTTATATTAAACCCTGATATTAAACCCTTATATTAAACCCTTATATTAAACTCATATATTAAACCCTTATATTAAACCCATATATTAAACCCTTATATTAAACCCTTATATTAAACCCTTATATTAAACCCTTATATTAAACCCTTAGATTAAACCCTTATATTAAACCCTTATAATAAACCCTTATATTAAACCCATATATTAAACCCTTATATTAAATCCTTATATTAAACCCTTATATTAAACCCTTATATTAAACCCATATATTAAACCCTTATATTAAACCCTTATATTAAACCCATATATTAAACCCTTATATTAAACCCTTATATTAAACCCCATACCGTAAAATTGATCAGCATGGGGAAAAGCGTGTTGAAACGGAAGGTATTGAAAAAACTCTCACAAATTCAAAATACAGGGGTGGATTGTCGCTTATATTTGAATTTGATGTTTCTTTCACACAAAGTCGAGAGTTTTTAGAATTTTATGTGCGAAGAACTAAATTTAGACATAATTAGGAACATCTTTTACTTGCTCCAGCCCAACATAATAATATATATGATATTCCCATTGCTTAATATCATATTTTAAATCTTTATAGTCCACAGAAATTGTTTGAAAAATTCAAGATAAATGAATGCATTTTAGATTATACTTTAGGTTTTGCGACATCCTACACTTGGAGAGCAACCGAAGAAAAGCTATTTAATAAATGTAGATGTCACCTAACCTTAGCAACCCCTAAGGCTGCAGTGGGCATGGGATATTTTAAGTCTTAAAGATCTGATGTGGATATTTCCTTACTTATCCTCTTTCAATGCAAGGTATGGGTAGGTAAAACAAACAACAACATAAAGTAGCAAAAGGTGCCTGGATATTTCGAGCGACGGCTCTTCTTGACGTAGTTGTGTTATGCAAATCTTTTTGTGACATTACTAAATATTAAAGTGGCTTACAATTTTTTTTTTATTAAACATCTTTGGGGGTTAGATCCATAGTTAACAAATAAACTTTTAAAAAAAAAAAAGGTTTTATCACAAAAAGCACTGCAAACTCATTTGTATACATTAAACCCAAATGAAAAACAACATATACATATAATAATCAACTGACGGGAAATAATTACTTCTGCTAAAAATTTCCAAGGTTTAACGTAGTCAAAAAAGAAGAAAGTAACTGTTAAATATCTTTGCATACTTGGATTATCAAAACTGGTCATTTTTAAAAAAAAAAATCATAAATAAATGGTACTATTATGTAAAGAAGACATGGGTTGTTTACCAAATAGTAGAAATTTCCCAAAATTCTTTTGATTGAATTTTTTTCTTTTTAATTTTTAATCTACTATAACTTTCTTTTTCAGAAAAATTGCAAACTGTCACTTATTTTTACTTTAAAACAATTTTCCCCCAAATCCACAGAATTTATTTTAAATTGACAAATTAGGAATAAGATGTCCTAAAACAAGTAACCTCAAAATAAATAAAAAGTAGAATTGGCATGATAATCGAAATTCGAAATGCTAGTTCTACTTCATCATTTTAGCTTTCTGATAGATTCTCATCTTGAAAAAAAAATATTAAAAAAAAATTCCTTTGCAAACAGATGGGGCAGTTTGTTTATTTTTCGAATAGTAAAAAAGATAAAAACTGGTTGAAATTGAATAACTATTGGTTGCTCTTTATTTAAAATTCTGTGATTCAGGAAATTTTATTACAAAGGTACGACGTTTAAAGAAAGCAAAAAAGTTCTCGATATAATAATGAAATTTTCCCTATTTTTTTGCGCCCGTTAAATTCTTAATTTAAAGAAAAAAATATCACCAATTTTGTAAGTTTCCAATTTATATAACTCAACATTAATGGAATCGAGGAAATGTAAAATTATGCCCATATAAATACTTTCGAAGCTTAATATCATCACACAATTTATAAATACCACCTATCACTACTTTAAAAGTAATACTTTTATCATAAAATATAATTTGAACATAGATTGCATATGTTTGATACTTGGCAAGAACTATTATTAGAATAGTAGTCCTTGATCTTTATGTAAGGTATTTTAATACAGTGTTATTGAAGTCTTAAAATTTGTGAATTGCACCCAAAAAAATGAATAAAATATATAAATGTGCGAACAACGGGAAGTAAGACTTCTGCAGATAATCAGGAGCAGCCAGTGCGTTTCTTATAACAGAATACTGTAAGCCATTTTAAAGATTAGCCTTAAATTTACGGATCATCAAATATATGGAGCGTAGGGATATTTAAAAGATTCCCCTAATCGTTATCGTATAAAGGCATCAGTTGCTATTCTTTTCAAAACTGTTTAAAATGACAATTTAGCCGTTTTTAATTTTAAAAATATATAATCGTTCTTTTGTGTAACCCATTTTTCTCGGGGAGGGGGGGGCACTTGACTTTCCCAGGGGGCCGGACCCACCCCCCCCCCCCTGGAGAGATGCCTGAATGAAACCCTGGTAGTTAGGTTTTGGTGTTTAGAGTGCTGTAAACTCATGGTGCAAGCCCCCCTCCCCCAACTTCCACGATGTATTTTTTCTTGTTAAAATATGTACACAGTATGACAATGACAAGAACAGAAAACAATTAATTACGGGTCAGAAGGTAAATGTATTTAAGAGCTATGACAAATTTAAGATATAATTACTTTTACATTACATTTACTTCATTCAAATGTTTCTTTCCTGGTTATCAAAGCTGCAAATCTGTCAATGACAACGTATCCCTTTACATTGATAGTAGAGCCAGATCAGAAATACCTGCCTGCTCCATGGTTGATTGTAAATAGTTCTTGATAAGTCGAAGTTTTGAAAAACTCCGCTCATATGAAATCATAGACACAGAGATCGTAAGAAACATTTGAAGGCTTAGCGAGAGTCTTGGAAGAGATTCAAGCAAGTCGCATTCAGCTATGTATTTCAAAGATAAAATACTGACCAGTCCAAAACTTTGTGTCCCATTCAGCTTATAAATTAAAAACATCAAATACTGACGACTCCAAAACTTTGGGAAATTTAATATCATCTGACTTTAGATGCAGGGTTGCTTTCAGCTATATCTCCGCGGGGGTTTTGGGGCAGTGCCCCCCGGGGAAAGCCAAGTGCCCCCCCAGGAGCAAAAATATGTCCAACAATAAATCAACTCGAAATGCTGGCACTGCCCCCCCCCGAAAAATCTGAAGTTGGGGTTTTGGGGCAAGGGCCCCCGGGGAAAGCCAAGTGCCCCCCCAGGAGCAAAAATATGTCCAACAATAAATCAACTCGAAATGCTGGCACTGCCCCCCCCCCGAAAAATCTGAAGTGCCCCCCCCCCCGAAAGTCTGAAGTGCTCCTCAGGGGTAAAATTTCTGAAAGAAACACTGTTTAGATGTCTTCTGAGCCTTGATATCTCTCATCTAATAATCTCCCTACTGTTCTCATAGAGGGAGTCCAGCAATTGTTTCTTTTTTCTCCTGCCATTCTATTCTTAAACCGTAATTTTCTCTGTTCCAAAATTCCCCGTTGGTCTTTTTTAAAAGTGCCTTTTCAATAGCATGTTCCACCAAGTGACGCGGTGTAAGATTAACTTACTATGTAAATGAACATAAAATCCCAGACATCCTGTAAACGATCTTGTGCTCTTTGAAAATCGTTGCTCAAATGTTAGGACGCGGTGCTACTGACGAATAGGATAACATTATTTTTTTTAATATTTCTGTGTTTCGACACAAAATTTGATTTTAATTATTTTTTTTTAAAATTTAAATAAATTTATATTAATGATTAAACTATCTTAGAACATTTTGCAAATTATTTTTTGGTTAAAGTAAACCAATAAATGGATACAAGGTAAATTTTTTAATGTTTTTAATTTTTACAAATTCAATTAGTGTACTTAGAATCGCTCGACCACATTGTATTTAGAATCAATGGGAATTTTTATTTATCAGAATTTAGATACATTTAGCTTCATGTCACTTATGCATGTTACCGAACACTTAAATCGGCGTTGAATCGTGGTCAAACAGGTGTTTTTAACTTATTCATACAGTCATCTCTTTTCTGAAGCTTCAACCTTGAGCTTTCAATAAAGCACTCATTTGGATCGATTGCGTGTTTGCAAAATTGACGTTTTGTCGGTTATACCTTTATGAAATTCGGCTAGGCCGAGCAGTACGTGCACTGTAAATAAGGTTTGTTTTCAATTTTGTTTGACCCCTTGGATGGTGTCATCCGATGCGCTTCGCAACGCCCCCAACACTTAAATACGCCACTGCATGTAGCTACTTGGAGTAGATGCATCTTCAGGTAACATTTTCAGAACAACTTTCCAAGGAGTAAAAAAAAAACATGTATAAAGCAACCATTTTTTTTTAAATCTTTAAGTTCATATTTTTATGTTGTTATTTGTCTTTTCTTTTAGATTGTTCCAACTGATAGGGGATGGTTAATTGAAGAATCTGGTAATAATTATCCCACTGGTCTAAACAACAGGGCTACGATGAAAATTGTACTCTATGTGCCATATACTTATTGTTTTGATGCAGGATCATACACCTGTAAGGCTCGCTTTAATCAAACAGGTGGTGTTTCAGAAGCCAGCCGTTCTGAAACAATTATATACAAAGGTGAGGTGGTTTTTTTTTTTATTGGTCTTATTTCCATGAAAGCTCCCCCCCCCCTTCCCCCCCCCTGTTCAGGTTATAGAGCTTGAAAACCTGACTTCTGGGGCATTCGTTTCCACCAGTCATTGTTTTATTGCCGATTCTATTACTATTTCAAACTGTTTGTGACAAGAGGCAAGTTTCCTAGTGGAGATTTTGAGATGTTGACACAAACTGATTACTCTGAAACACATTCTTTTGAATGTCAGTAATCTAAATTGTCACAATGCTATGCAATCCCCGGCATTTATTGGATACCAAAACTTCGTAAGAAGTATCCATGGTTGTCACAAATGACCGTGGCAGGGGTTAGCAACAAAGCACCATTGTTCTTAAGATAATAGGGTGGACGGTCATGGCTGTGATTTTTGGGAGGGAATTGTTAGGCGCATGGGGTAAGGTTAATAAATTCTCGCATCATTTAGATTGGTGTGATGTTTCTGACCAAAATATTATGTCTCGAGCCTTACATATGTCGCATGACAATTTGGATGTTGAAGACAGAAGTTCCTATTGGACCGGAAATGAAGTGGGTAGAGATGGGTTGATAGCCAGCATTCCTAGACCACCTAGGGAAGCAGAGAAGTGTATATAAGGTAGAGAGCTTCGTTATGTAGTACAGAGCTAGAGATACGTTGACGGTCATTCTAAAGTGACAGACGTAGTGTTACCAGCTGTAGTCAAAGACAGACTAAGGGATAGACAGTTAACGTAGTGTTAACAGAAAAAGAGACATTACTCAATCTTATTATATTCGATCAATACATCTTTTATTTATAACTGTTACTGATGAGTTGCTTTGGCATTCATTGGTGCTCTGTGTTTCCTTCGTTGTACTTCTCAACGTCTGGACTAGTGAACCCTCACAGAGCAGAGCGGTCCGCACCAGTCACAACATCATCAATACCACTTGGTACATAACCATAAGTACGGGTCATACCTCACAATACCACCCGTATATGTGACTTTGTGGGGGCTCCTTACCGGGGTGTAGACAATACGAGAGGACGACGAAGATGCCAGTTAAAACTCTGAGTGAGGTTCTGACTCTAGTAGATGATTCTCTACAGCTTAGAGGAAATGAGAGGAAAAAATACATCGAGAGAGAGGTGAATGAGGTTAGAAAAACAGAAGCTGTCGAAAAAGCATCTAAAAGAGGGCGGCAGAGAGGGTGGTGGTCGAGGGAGAGGCGGCAGAGTGAGCATGACAGAGAAGGTGGCCGACTGAGAGGCGGCAGAGTGAACATGACAGAGAAGGTGGCCGACTGAGAGGTGGCAGAGTGAGCATGGCAGAGAAGGTGGCCGACTGAGAGGCGGCAGAGTGAGCATGACAGAGAAGGTGGCCGACTGAGAGGCGGCAGAGTGAGCATGGCAGAGAAGGTGGCCGACTGAGAGGGGGCAGAGTGAGCATGGCAGAGAAGGTGGCCGACTGAGAGGCGGCAGAGTGAGCATGACAGAGATGGTGGCCGACTCAGAGGCGGAAGAGAGAAGGGCTTATGGGGAGGTGATGTCAGAAGCCAAGATGTTGGAAAGGCCAGTGGTTGGAGTCTCAATTGTTCTGATCTAAGCAGCCCAGGCTTCCAGCTTTCATAGATGGGGTTGTCAATTAGATGGATGGCTCATCAGATTGAGCTGTTTGCTAAGATCAGTAAATGGCCAGTAAGCGGCTGGGCGCTGTCACTTAGTGCGCTTCTGCCTGGGCGTACTTTCGAGGAATATTCGAAAATGCCTGATGAAGATGCACTAGAATATAAAAAGGTGGAAGATTTGCCGCTAAAGAGGCACAACCTTAAAGAGGATGAATACAGGATCCGGTTCAGAGAAAGTAGGTCACAGACAGATGAGTGTCCAGCCGTATTAATCGGAAGGTTGAAAAATTACATTAAGAAGAGGATTAGTCTGTCGAAGACATAGAATACATTTGAATGTATTATGGACATGTTCATAAAGGAGCAATTCATGAGTGTGTGTCCCGTTGATTTGGCTACTCACTTGAGCGAGGGAATGATTGACAGTCTTGATGAAGTAGTGACAGTGGCAGAGCTATTCATCGAGACAATTAAGAGAGTCTTCAATGATAATTCTCACGTGGCACAGTTGGAGAATAGGAGAAATGGCACGAGAAATAGAGAAGTTGAAGAACAGAAGACATGACCTGGTCCAATGATGCCTCATAATGGCATATTAGGACAGGCAAAACCTGACTTCAAGTGTTTGGTGTCATAAGAGTTGACATATAGCGAGAAACTGCCCTAATGTTAGTGAATCCAGAAAAAAAATAGTCCAATGGGCTGCATCAGCACAAATTTACTCCTGGGCTGCAACTTTCAAGCGATTGGTTGGGTGATCAGTGAGATAGATGTCAAATGTGGTGGTGAGATCAGTGAGCAGGACAATGAAACATCAAAGAAGAGGAACTTTCCGATTCTAGAGGGCTTGGTCGGGTCTAGTAAGTTGAGGTGCTAAGAAACACTGAATTTTAAGCAATAATTGCTAAACGAATGTATTTAAGGGATGGCCAGCTAACAAATGGAGCTGGTTTTATTGCGTTAATGATAACAGACATTGAACCTGGGGACATCCCAAAAAACGGCCTCCGTGACTCCGGATGGTCATTATGAGTTCTTGAGAATGCCGTTTGGAATGATGAATTCAGGAGACGCGGTATCGGACAACTCTACAACGGCTGGAAAGAATGAAAAACGTAATTATCTACGTAGATTATTTGCTAATCTACACCCGCACTTGGAAAGAACTTTTAGAGAAAATGGCGGAATAATTTGATCACTTGAAAATTTTGAATAGGAATGCGAGGCCCACAAAATGCGTATTTAGGAGGTCCATCAAGATGGACCTCCTGGGACACAAATTATCACTGGGAACACTAGGGCTGCAAGAAGACAACGTGAACAAAAGCAGGCATGCTCATCGGCCAACTTCCAAAAAAGGAGTGCCGTTCCTGCCTTGGTCTCACGGGGCACTACAGGGAGTTCCTACTGAACTGTGCGACCCTGACATCCCAATTGACGGCTCTGACTTAAAAGGATCAACAAGACAAATGAAAATGGGAAGTAGACCTGGACAAAACATATGACGCCCTAAAGAAAAGCAATCACCACGCGTCGAATCCTACGCATCCACAAACATGGATCAATGATTTGTTTCGAATCCTACGCATCCACAAACATGGATCAATGATTTGTTTCGAATCCTACGCATCCAAAAACATGGATCAATGATTTGTTTTTAAGGGTCGATGCAACTGATCTTGGTCTTTGCGCTGCCCCGCTTCAAAAAGGTGATGACGGAGCACTTCAGCCCGTTGCATTCGCTAGCAAGAAGTTCTTGGAAAGAGAGACCAGGTATTCTACGATCGAGAAGGAGTATCTCGCGATAGTGTGGGCCATACAAGTTTGAACTTTATCTTGACGGAAAGCAGTTCATTCTACAAACTGACCACCAGCCATTGGAGTAACTTAGCACGGCTCTAATCGTGAGGGCCAGGTTCCTTAGATTGGCTCTGTTTCTTCAGGGCTACAGTTAATTTTTTTTATGTAGTCCATTGCTAGGGCGAATACTGTAGAGCCAGACTTTCTAAGAAGACTTAGAAATGTTGTTAGATTGTTGTGTTTTCTGAGATTTACAACATGGCGAGAGTCTACATAAAAACTATATTTTAAATTATCCCTCTATTAGACCTGTGTGTGTGTGAATAAGACATTGATCTACTAATCTATAACGGAGCAGATGTTCTCGAAGACACTTTAGTCTTAAATATTGTATTTTGTATTTTATTTTATTTCACATTATTTTGTGATAGATAATTTTTTACCTGATGATACATATGGCGAGGTTTAGAGCAGTCGAAACGAGACTAGGGGGGTGCAGTAAGAAGGGGAAGCGTAGTATTATTTATGGAGTAGTCATTGGTTTGGTTAGTTTTGACATTTGTCAGTTTTTTTTTTAAATTGTTGAAGGGGGGAACAGTGTTAATAGCCTATAGTGATAAAATTCTAGATAATTCACCTCCCTTATGTTAACTTAAGAGATGAGAATAGTTAGAGAGAGAGCTAGAGTGGAAAATGTAGTTTGAATGAGGTGTCATATGAGAAGGTACGAGAAAGAATTTGGAAATGAGCGAACAAAATTTATGGGAAAAACTGAGAAAAAAAAGGGACTTAACACAACGAACGAACGTGTCGGCAAGAAGCCTTCCTCGGTGAAAAAACAACAGTAAAATAAAAATAAAAAGTAACACTTAGCTGCAACGTAGTATCCCAGAGGACAGCAAGAGGAATGTGACAGAACAAAATCAGTTGAGATATGAAATACAGGAGATGGGACAGACGAGATGAAACGTAGGTCCACTGCGATTGTTCGTAGCGAGGAGAGGGCGGAGAAAACGTTTAACCTGTGAATGAAAACATGACGTCCATGTTACCTGCTTTCATGTTCCCATAATAAGGCTACATTATTTTTTTTAGACATAACTCATTATCTATCCAGTTGCTCTTTCACGTCAACATGAAATTTTTCATTGAAATTTTCCTTTTAACCCTTAACGTTTTTCCGCGTATTATCTTTTAGAGAAATGTTATTGACCTCGCAGATGTCAGTCAAAAACAATAAGGGTCAAGGTCATATGTTGTTTTTTTATGTGTAGAGATTTTCTTTTCGAGGAAATTTATTCTGGATGGTTAAGTTTCAACTCTTCAATGGGAATAATCTGAATTACCCATATGGAAATAAAAATACACTCAAAATTTAACGACCAGTGTTTATTTAAATCTAAGAAGTTTACTATACTTGTGGGCTTCTGTATCATTGAAAAAAGAATCTTCTGTGCTACATGTAAGTGACTAGGAGTATAAGAGAACAGAACGTTGACGTAGCTCATCTAGTTTAACCTACTTATTCCAGTTTCCCAAAAATAGCTTATGATATTCTGTTGGTGATGTTCAGGTAGGGATTGTTTGTAGTAAGCATCTTAAAAATTTATTATAAAAGTTAAATGGGTTGTTCATTAACTTTTTTCTTATCATTCGAAATAGAAAGAATAAATATACCTGTGATTACGTTGGACCCTCACAATGGATATGCACCTGACGTCTCCTCTAACATGGTGGGAGAAGAAGTCAAATTAACGTGTCAAATACAGGTAGCTAATAATTAAGTTTTTTTTTTTTAAATGTATTTTTTTTGTTAAAAAGCTAAGTTTGAATTATTTTCATTCGTCTTACATAATGTTAAACAAAAATTTTTCTTTTACAATCATTAAACTTTGTACCATAAAGTAGGGACACGGATGTCCGAGGAGACAGATTCTGACACGACATGCCCTGATTAATTTAGTTGCTGAGGAACTCTGGGTGCATAGTTCACCCGACCTTTTCTGTCAAGTCGTCAGTGCTCCGCAGCAGCTGTTGGCTTCATGTTGAACAAATCCTTTGTCTACACCGTGAAGCAACGATGCTCGTTCCCTTGCCGACTCTTCCCATGTCTCTGTTTCTTTATCGAGCGATATTTAGTGATTCTTGAAAGGTGTCTCAAAAGCGTTTGTTCTATTCAGCAAATCACCTTCCATGCTCAAGATAAAAATAGTTTCAATAGTTTTTTTTGGGCTAGCGGTCGTCTGACAGTGTCACAAAATTCAACGCATTAGACTTGTAAAAATGAAGGGGAGACCAACCTGTGCGAGTACGTCATTGTTCTGGGACCTTGTCCCACCATTTGATGTTTGGGATTTTTTCTGAGACTTGTATGAAAGTAACTTCACATTATTGCATCGTGTAAATACACAGTGCACGTTTCACGGGCATAGATAAGCGTAAGAAGCACATAGGCATTGTTTACTTTTATTTTAGTATGACTGCTGATAACTCGCCTGCTTCATGCATTCTTAGACAATCTGCCATAGGTTGTACTAGCTCGTACAATATACATAAACTATTTTACTTATTTTATACAAATCATCAATAATTGCTCATCTACGCAATACTTTTGTGAATGGTTATATACATTGAATGGGAAAACGTCTGTTGTTTTTATTTGGGGTTTTAATATTGCAAAATTACTTTTAAATTTATTTAATAAAAACATCTTCAAACAATATTAAATTAGAGTTTTCCATTGACCTGAAATAAAGAAATAGTTACATTAAATTCATAAGTGCTAAATTTAAACTTGCAAATAAATAGCTACGCTGTTCCTTGATTTAATAACCTGGTGTGACAAAACTGATAATTTATCAAGTATCTTACTATTAGTTGCTTTTTAATTTATAATAAACCACACCAAGCTTTAACTTTATATTTTTAACTTGCAATAAGTTGTATTTATTTTTCAGTCCAGAAAATGTCCTTTGATCCATTTTGTCAAGTAATAAAAACATAACTTAATTTTTTATACTCAAATAACAAGCTGCATTTCGTGCCAAAGTGCTCAACGAAACTTAATATCTCATTACCACTGACCGTCTCTTTTATTAGTCAACCAAATAAGAACAGACCATATTTGTAACACATGTCATATTGTCATTATGACAATATTTGTAGTAACATGGTTAACTAATACTGCAGTAGATGTGTTGCCGCTATCACATTTGAATAATTAATTCATTCACTCCCCAAACTTATCTTTTTTCTCTCTCAATAATGAATTGATAACTTGTAATAAATAATTTATACAGTTCTTTATTATTTTCAATAAACACACCAATTTTAAGTTTTGCTAGGAGGATATCCTGCAATAATTCTAGAATATATTCTAGAATATATATATATAGAGAGAGAGAGAGAGATAAACAGTTAGTTTTTAAATACCACCAATCAGTTGTGAAATCTGTTATAGGAAAATATCATTGGTTCTAATCCTTTGTTTAATCCCATGTAAGGGTCTTGTCAGTCTTGCGGGTCTTGAATTAACCTGGTTGACCGGTCCCAGAGGAGGAAACAACTTTGTGCCCTATCCTACGGATGGTGCTGAAACGGTTACACCGGGACCCCCAGATCGACCCTGTGAACGTGGCAAATATGAGTCAACCTTGACCTTCAAGGTACCCGCTGTCGACACTACGTACACTTGTGTGGCCAAAGACGGTGATAATGGTGCCAGCCGAACGAACTTCACAATTGTCCATACAGCAAGTATCGGTTGGTCAAACTTTTGTTTTGTTTAAAGCGGAATTGATATTGTTAGTTTATGTCATTTTACTTATCTATTTTCTTTTTAAAAAAGATTATATATCTTTGACAACAGTTAAAAGTTAGTTTAATCGTAAAATATTGATTATGACCAGTTTAAAAATGGCTTGGTGACCGGGCTGAACAAATCCGTGGGAGCTGGGGTAACATCTGGCTGTGGGTGTTGGGTTGAATCTGGCTGTAGGGCTGGGGATGAATCTGGCTGTGAGTGATGGGGTAATATCTGGCTGTGGGTGCTGGGGTTGAATCTGGCTGTGGGTCCTGGGGTAATATCTGGCTGTGAGTGCTGGGGTAACATCTGGCTGTGGGTGTTGGGGTTGAATCTGACTGTGAGTGCTGGAGTAATATTACGCTTGGGGTGTTGGGGTTGAATCTGGCTGTGAGTGCTGGGGTAATATCTGGCTGTGGGTTCTGGGGATGAATGTGGCTGTGAGTGGCGGGGTAATATATGGCTGTGGGTGCTGGAGTTGAATCTGGTTGTGGGTGCTGGAGTAATTTCTGGCTGTGGGTGTTGGTGTTGAATCTGGCTGTGAGTGCTGGGGTAATATCTGGCTGTGGGTGTTGAGGTTGAATCTGACTGTGGGTGTTGGGGTTGAATCTGGCTGTGGGTGCTGGGATAATATCTGGCTGTGGTTTTTGGGGTAATATCTGTCTTGGGAGGTTGAGTTTGAATCTAGCCGTGAGTGCTGCGGTTGTATCTGGCTGTTGGTGCGCTGAAAGCTGGTCTTGTCCATCGATGCTTGAAATGCATTAAAAGGTGTACATGCCGGGGAAGGCCTGTTTGTGACATCACCTCTGTGTCTGGCTCTTGTCCTGTTTTTTTCTTAGATGAAGAGGATTTTTCGTAGGATAGTTGTATAAATGTTAGACCTATCCCCCCTCCCCCCAGGCCAAGTCACTTATTTCAGGATAATAGTGGGTTCTTTACATTCTAATTTTAAAATCGTTGAAAAGAATTTCTTTTTGAAAATGTGGTACCAACACTGTATAGTGTAAGCCCGTGAAAGTATCTGTTTTGGGGGGTTGTTTGAGGGGGGGGGGGTTATGTATCTACTTTTTTAATCGGAAATGTATCATCCAAAGTTATGAACTGTTAACAGATTGTCTCTAAAATCTTATTTTTTTCCTAGAAATGTTCGTATTAATTGGTCTTAATGTTATCCTAAAAAAATTCCACTTGTTAGAACTGTTTATGTGTTGATGTAGCAGTGGGAGAGATAAATATGTGAACTTTATTATTCCCAATACAATAGTAAAATGTCCCGATAAACTTTCCATGTGCAAAATTGTCTTTGGGTTGTTTAGAATAAATAATTTGTTTCGGTAATTATTTTATCTAATAAAATTGTTGATATTTAATAAATTATCTTTGATATTCTAGGCAACAAAGGCGCGAACTTGGTGGTCCTGGACTCACAATGGTTTGTCAGGAACATGTTGATGATGGTTGTAGCATTTCTCAAGTGGTCAGGATTTGTTTAGTGTCACGAGGACTAACAAAATTACTCGGCCAACTGGTGCCACCAGGATTCGAAAAATTACTTTGCCAGTCAGCTCATGGAATATGTTCATCAATAAAATATGGTGTAAATGTGTAGACACTTTGCTTCAAAGATTATCGTATATACACTTTAAGCATTCCCGCTTCAATGTCTCTAAGGCAGGGGGGGGGGGGGGGAGTGGACTGAATTTAAAGAACAAAAATTCTATGTCCCTCAAACAATGCTGGGGTCACACTTCACTGTCCCTCAGACAATGCAGGGGGTCACTTCACTGTCCCTCAGAGGAGGTATTGCTAGGCACATCGCACATATCTTATTTGTAGTGAGGAAAAAAAATCAACATGAATTTTTTAGTAAATGAATAAGAAGTAAGGGCCTGATTTTGACTCTGTAGAGGGTCAATTCAGCGGTTCATATTTATCACTTTTACAGTAATAAAATAATTTATTTGCATTGAACTTGATATTAGTTGTTTTCTATGGTTATGACGATGGAAGTTATTCAGCTTTAATTTGACTTTTTTTTTTTACATATTGAAAATGGAACAATGTGAAAACCAAATAGACCTATTCTTATATACGGCTTTAAAATAATGTAAGTAACCTTATTACTTGCTGTAAATAATCTTAAATGGTGGAAGTTACACAAATAAAGTTTAAGTGAGAAAAAGACAGTCATCGGTATTTATTCAACTAACACAATTTAAAAAAAAAATTGCTATGTAAATCAAACGAATTTTCGGTAGCTCAAGCTCCGATCCAGTTTTTGGAAATAGACCTAGGTCGAAACGTATGAATTCCAGCCCATGGGACGTCATTTGGGTAGGGCAGGGGCAATACACCCCCCCCCCAACGGAATTTTCAGCTTTATTTAAATTGCTACGTACCGTAGTCTCTCCAGTAAAAAACAACTCTTCAAACTGGTCAAGTAATAGTTTTGCATCCCAACCCCTTGAAAAAAAAACCTGAAATGACGCTCCTGCTCCAGCTGCGAGCGTCAATCCACAAGGCTAGTGTCTGGGAATGAATTGTCTTTGTTGTGTGATTGTTGTTGCTTTTTCAATGACATAATGGTCTTTGTGCGTTTAGAAGGGTAATGATTAAGGGGGGCTGGGTGGAGCCTTTAAAGTGTGAATGGATTTGGGCGAGGCTAGGATTAGTACGAAGTTGATTTGCTCGACCTGATGATAGAGGAGGTCAACGTGATATTCGAATGGCTGATCAATCAAATAAGGGCGATCGTGCACTATTCCAATGTATAGAGACATAGATTGCTTGTGGGTGAGTTTCCAAAGTTACAGGTCCATCGAAGGTCAGAAAGTGGGTCAACTTTTAGATATAAGATTCAATCACACAAAAACAAAGAGACAGAACTACCTGAGAATACTGATGATACTAACTGTTCAAGTAAAAATACTGTGTATGACATGTACACAATCGAAGCTTCATTTGCTAATATGTAAAAAAAAAACAATGTCACCCGTTTTCATTGGTGAATGTCTACCATATTGATTTGAAATGTTGTATTAGACACGAGTTCCTCAAACCTTTTTTTATCAGTGGGCCGATTCACTGTCACTGAGACACTTTGAGGGCCGATTCACTGTCACTGAGACACTTTGAGGGCCGATTCACTGTCACTGAGACACTTTGAGGGCCGATTCACTGTCACTGAGACACTTTGAGGGCAGATTCACTATCATTTGATACACTCTGAGGCCGGTTAACTGTCGTTTAGACACTTTTAGGCACACTTTAACTGTCATTAAGACGCTTTGAGGTCCGTTTCACTGTCATTGAGACTCTTGCAGAGCCTGATTTTGACTCACTAGATGGTCAAGTCTGCATGTTATATTTGTCACTGCTATGCTGTAACCCGTTTGAACACTACAACATCTTGACCAACCTTAACTACGATTTCCGCTCTGGATTCCCAACAGAAACTCAATTAATCACCACCACCAATGACCTCCTTTCCTCCTATGACAACGGTAAACATGTCGACATTGCAATTCTCGACTTCTCCAAGGCCTTTGACACTGTTTCACACAGCCTTTTCTACATCAGCTCCACCACAACGGCATTACCGGCAACCTTCATTCCTTGCTCTCAACATTTCTAACCCATACGACCATGCAAGTAGGGGTGGATATCGTCCGATCAGGCAAAGCCTCTATAGACTATGGGCCTTGTTTTGAGGATCACTGTCCTAGACCATTTTGAATTTCACTGCCTACAATCAAAGAGATTGTTTTGTTTCGTCCATTCAGATGGACACTTGATTTTGTAAAAGAGTTTTTTTTTTTTTTTTTTTTTTTTTTTATAAGTGTTTTTTTTTTTTTTTTTTTTTTTTTTTAAATGTATAACGTAATGTCGTCATTGCTAATATTATAGGAAATGTGTCATGAGAAGGAAAAGAATTAGACACTCATATAGTAGGAAGAAATGGAAAACTCGAAAGCTTGCTGATTTGCATTAAGCCACCTTAAGCACTGTAGTAATACTTCTGCACGATCTAATCCTAAGAGGCTTGAGGGATTTGTGAAAGAGGTGTTAGGTTTTGTTAAGAATTAGATTTGAAGGATGGAGATTTAATTAACTATTTAGCTTGGCTGACAGCTCAGTATACACTTTGTCTTTCAACGGGTTCTTTTTTCTGATAATATAATATCAAGTTAATAATAATAGATAGCGTTAAAAGGGATGCTATAGTTCCAACCATTCCCTACAAAGCAATAACACTCTATAGCTCTAGGATCAGAGTCAACGAAATATGGTAGTCCTAGAATCTGGGAAACAGAGCAGGCCTAGAATTAGTTGCGAAGTGTAGTAGTCGAATTATTAGTACTAGAGTAAATATAACAGAGCACGATCTAAAAATATTACAATATATTAGTACAATAATCAGTGAGATGTAGTAGCACTCGAACCATTGACACATCGGGGTACCAGAATAAGTGAAATAGAGCACTACGAGAATAAGTGAAATAGAGCACTACGAGAATAAGTGAAATAGAGCACTACGAGAATAAGTGAAATAGAGCACTACGAGAATAAGTGAAATAGAGCACTACGAGAATAAGTGAAATAGAGCACTACGAGAATAAGTGAAATAGAGCACTACGAGAATAAGTGAAATAGAGCACTACGAGAATAAGTGAAATAGAACACTACGAGAATAAGTGAAATAGAGCAGCACCAGAATAAGTGAAGTAGTGAAGCCCTAGACGCGGTGAAACAGACACGCGCTAAAATAAGTGAAACAGAACAGTACCAGATCACTTGAAACAGCGCAGCTCGGGAATCAGTTCAATGTATAGCACTAGATTCATTGGCACAAGTAGCGTGGAGCCCTAGAATAAGTAAAACAGAACTGCTCTTGAAACAGTATAACTTATTAGCACGGAAAGCTATTTGGCACGAATTAAATACTAGAATCAGTTAAAGAGAACAGTACATGAATTAGTGGAAACGAGTGCACTAGAATCAGGGGCACGTAGTAGCGCTACGATAAGTTAATCTCAGTTCTCAAAGCTTAAACGTGTTTTATGAATGAATCATTCGTTGATCTTGTTTTGCTTGTTTTTAAAATTCTGCTATTTTATATCTTTTTTGTTCTTTGCTATATATATATACAAAATATATTTTGTAATGTATATTATTTCTTCATACTGTATCCTATTCCGATGTCGTAATATCAACATAAGATATTCTGCGACCAATGACTTGTTTTATAATTTATGGAAGAATCCCTTTTCATAGATTGTTTCTGTTTATTTGTCTACATTTTTTTTGGCAATGCTCTGATGACGTCATAATTAAAGGATCGGACCGGAACTCAATGAGAGCTCTACACATTTTTTTTTTTTTTATTATTTACATATCAGGAGTTGAGTAATATTAAAATATAGTAATTACAATTTTATATCAATAAGGTCTGATAACAAAAGTGATAATATATACACAATAAATTTGATTGGTAAGATAACTATTGACATTTAAAAGTTATTTTTATCTGTAGAGTTTCTTTGATTCGAAGTTGAACAAAAGGATCAACCAAATTGGGGTCCAAATAGCTTCATTAAATAGTGGGTTGAGAACGGGAGTCGCTTAGTCACTTCCTTGTTTGGTCACGTGATGAGAGTAAGCCATCACTAGGCTGCTACACACAACAAAAGATACTTCATCAGTGCTTCCCCAATGTCATGTTACTTAACAATTTTACCTTTCAAATATTCTGGAATACACGCGTTTTTTAAATGAAATACATAAATGTGACAATAAATATACGTCAGTTATGATTAAAGGAAGAAAGTTATTTCAAGAAAAATTTGTGAGCGATATTCGATAGGATATATCAATAATATCGTCGGCAGGCTGTTGTTGAGGTCCGTGCGTGCCCATGACGTCATTTGCGTGTTTATTCAATATTTGTGCTGGAGTCATTCCCCTTTGTGTATATTATTGTTAATTTTCATTGGACGAAATGTCGGCATACCCATGACGTCATTTGCGTGTTTATTCAATATTGGTGCGGTGAAGGAATATTTTAATTACCGGTTGGAACAAGATTTCATGTGAATAATTAACGAAGGTCCACTTTGTCAAGCCATTGTCTTAAATTTTCTTTATCCTTAAGCGGAAACTTATGCAGACTTATACCGCTGTCCTTAACTTGACTGTTTGAACAGCCAAAAGCCGAACATTTCCTAGGCATCTTGAATTACTAGTTGTAGTGTTATCGGGCTACTGTTGTCAAGCACTAGTGTGTTGTATACAGCCTACCGGAAGTCTTACTCGTTTTTACTCTCATCACGTGACAAATCAATCGACTAAGCGACTGTTCCTTAGCATCAACCCTGTTTTTGAAATGAGTTTTTTAATGCTTTTTTCACTATTTAAAAAATTCAAATTTTCATCTTAAATTGTTGTTTTTTCATTTGCTCCATCTTTCAAATGCATAAGTTTTTCCCTTTCGTGTATCCAGATTTTATACTTAAGCGATTTATCTAGATAGCTACAAGATTTCGTCTCAACTTGTTTTTATTGTAGTTAAAGTCGTTCAGCTTTTATCTTCCTCTACTACAAAGAATATATGATTTAATATTGTCAATTATGCATGGGGAAAATTGTGGGTGTGTGTAAATTAATGTTTGTATTTT